GGCACGCCTTGAGGAATTGAAAGATAAGAAGAGTGCTGAAACCGCGGACCAACCTGCACATGCCCAGACTTCTTCGTCGGAACCATTGATCCCCGCGCTAGCCCTCCCAGCTCGTGTTACAGATAGCAACTCTAATAGAGCCCATTCTTCCTCATCAGTGAAGAGGGCTGCGCCAGAAGTTGCTACTATCACGATAGGTGATCATACCGTCACAAGTATCATTGGTTCAGCACCTAAAAAGCAGCGACTTGGCACCCAACAGGGTCGCAATCCATATACGCGAAAAGACACTAAAGCAACAGCAGTTATACCTTCTTTTAATGGGCGGCTAACCCAAATGTTTGCTGCACAGGTAGAGCGGTCACAGACTGACAAGAGAGACGTTGAAGCTACTACAGAGATCCGGGACGATCAACAAGATTCGGATTCATCAAGCGAGCATTTGTTCGTAACTGATGACTCTGAGGCAGAAAGCGCCGGCGAGCGCACGGCCGATAAACCTAGAGAAGCCGGGCTTCAGGATCAATCTTCTCAGGAATCGCAGGCATCTGAGGCAAACCTTGACGGGGATTCAGAGGTGGAGCCAACATCTCAGATCGGCCCCAATGATACTGAATTCAAAGATGAGGAATCTCAAGAAGAAATAGAAGAGCGCGAAATCAGCGAAAATATTGAGAAAGCACGAGTTCTCGAAGAAAAAGTCTCAGAGGAACCGCAGAAACGAACTCAGAGTTTCGTCAAAGGTGGCACTAAGAAAAAGGACGCCACTTATCACCTTGAACAGGTATTACGCGTGGATGGAAAGCTTATTCGGCACGCCTTAATTTCCCAACAAGAATATATCTCTCGTTCTATCTCCGGCTCAAGGGCCAGGTTAGAAACTGATCGTATTGACGCCGAAGACGCCGAAGAAAAGCTGTCCTTGACTATATCAAAATCTGACTTTGAGAGAATGAAAATTGTCGGGCAGTTTAATCTAGGCTTCATTCTAGCCTCCCGCGTAGCCGAGGGATCCTCTGTGGATACTCCGGATAGGGGTGATAGAGACGACGAGCTATTTATTATCGATCAGCATGCAACTGATGAGAAGTATAACTTCGAGAGGCTCCAAGCTAGTACCGTCGTGCAGTCCCAAAGACTGGTGCGCCCTAAGATGCTCGAGCTCACAGCCGTTGAAGAGGACATAGTGCAGCAAAACATTGATGCCCTGGAAACAAATGGATTTATCGTCGACTTCGATGATAGCGGTGACCAGCCTGTCGGAACCCGGTGTCAGTTGCTTAGTTTGCCACTGAGCCGAGAAACTACCTTCTCCCTTGCGGACTTGGAAGAGCTCATCTCGCTCCTTCAAGATCACCAATCCGCATCGGCAAACACAGTTCCACGGCCGTCCAAGGTTCGCAAGATGTTTGCGATGCGAGCTTGTCGGAGTAGTGTGATGATTGGGAAGTCTCTGTCAACTAAGCAGATGGAGAAGCTTGTCCGACACATGGGCGAATTGGATAAGCCGTGGAACTGCCCGCATGGGCGGCCGACCATGAGGCATCTGTGCGGTTTAGGCGCATGGGATGATCTGGGCTGGAAAGAAGGCGATGGTTTTGATGGAAATAAGGCATCATCTGTAACTTGGAGCGCTTACCTCCAGGAGCATCGGGATCTGGAATAGAGATAACATCTTGCATGTACATTCTGTTTTGTATTGCTTAGGGTTGTGCTTGGTGAGGCGCATATCTGTTGTTTTATCATTCTATATATACCCTTGCGTACCGTAACACCAAGCGTAAGACTTGAGGTCAGAGACTATAGATAACACCTAACTTTGTTTCATAGTCACAGCTGAAGACTGCCCCAATGAGATATACAAGCTATTCTATACGAAAGGAATCTCTGTTCTGATTCCGTGAGAGTATTGGGCCGTCACAAATCCAGTGGTTGTACTTTTGTGAACCTTACGCATGCAACCCTACGCACGTGGCTTGGAAGTTTGGCGTCAGCAACGTTATCGACGCTTTTGTATTTCCTCGTGCAGTTGGCGTTAAATTACATGCCCATGCTCGCTGTCGCTCCTTATGGCTTGAAGGAATACTTTGAGGCTGGATGATAGGACTTTATTCTCGTGGTATCCACCACTAAGAAGGCTAAAGTAATCCCGACATCGTACGTCGAGAATCTACCTAAGATCCTGAAGCAAGGTATAGTCTTTCCAGGTAACCCTCACGCGGAAATTCTGCGATGATAGCCATCTAGAGCTTCAACTGACGCCAATGCAGCTGAAATAACAATAACAAGTGGTGTTGGTGCCTGGGGAAGTGGGTTTCCGGGGTCTAGCAGTAGTCTAGGTTGGTTAGTCAATACTACAGGGGTGTTGAGGGGTGTTGGGATGATCTGTTGATTTCGTAGAAGCACATCGCGACTTATTCAAACACGTACAATAGCTTAAAATAAATAAATACAAGCTCTTAGATGGATTGGATTGTGGCCGTAGATATATTAGGTCGAATAATGTTTGTGTGTTGTACGAGAGAGCGTGCGATTCCTTATCCCGTCCGGGCTCGCCAACTAACCCGGAGTAACTGTCGCTGGTGTCGGTCGCGGTGTTAACGAATGCGGCAAATAAGGTGCTGACTTATATCCGCCCATCCACCTCCATGACAACATTATACCAGGATATGGAACGACGAAGGATCCAATAGGTAGCTCGTTGACATCTTGATGAGTCAGATAGGTAAGTAGGGGGTTATTAGATGTTAGAGTACCAATTGACTATAAAGCAACGAGTTCCCGGGTCTTGGAAACCATTGAAAAGCGTAGATATCAGCATCAGTCTCAAACCAAAACAACTGCAGCATTAGATTCACTCTTCATTATTTATATAGCTACAGCTACTCATCATGTCGTCCAACGCCTCGCTCAAGCCCATCACTCTCTGGGGACACCAGATCGGCCCCAACCCTCTCAAAGTACGTATGGTGCTCGAGGAGCTAGGCGTGCCGTACGACTTCAAGATCCTCGAGTTCCACGAGATAAAGGGGGAGGCATTCCTCAATATCAACCCCAACGGGCGTGTCCCGGCCATTGAGGACCCCAACACGGGCCTCGCGCTCTGGGAGTCTGGCCCCATCATCGAGTACCTCGTCGACCAGTACGACAAGGACCACAAGATCTCGTACGACACCTTCCCCGAGAAGTACCAGATCAAGCAGTGGATCGGGTACCAGATTTCCGGTTCGTCGACTCTCCCTTCTTACCCTTACTTTCTCTCATCATCATTATCACCATCCCTCGCGGATAGTTTGATTCCGTGACTAACATGACTCGACGTTTAGGCCAAGGCCCGTACTACGGCCAGGGCGTCTGGTTCTCGTTCTTCCACCACGAGAGACTGCAGTCTGCCGTCGACCGGTATTTCAAGGAAGTCGAGCGCGTGCGCTCGGTGCTCGACCTGCACCTCTCCCGGCAGGCGGGCGAGGCACAGGGCGCGAAGGTCTCTGCGAAGGACAACTGGCTCGTCGGCGACAAGTGCACCGTCGCGGACCTTAGCTGGTTCATCTGGGAGCAGATCATCAACTTCACGCTGGCTCGGGCCGGCCGCCCTATCGAGGAGGTCCGTATCTCATCTCTGATGTTTCCTTGTGTCCCTCTCACGGCCTACGTCGCGTTATGAGACAAGACAGGACATTTCGCGTTCATTGCTGACTTCGCACCAGGGTAAGTACCCGCATTATGAGGCCTGGTACAAGAAGCTGGAGGAGCGCCCTAGCTCCCAGCTCGCTATCAAGATGAGAAACGAGGGCCTGAAGGGTATCCAGCTCCCTGCACAGGCTCCTCAGCAGACTGAGGAGAAGAAAGAGTAGAGGGATCGAGATGGAGGCCATGTATATAAAGGCATCGTATAAGTGTTGATATATGGGCGTCAGGGCCTAGGCTCCTGTCGCATGGGATGTATAAAGTATTAAGGCAAGCTTTGCTAGTACATATAGGTTTTGTATCCTTGCGTAATAACATAAGCCACTTTTAAAGCTGCCGGCAATCAAGACTAAGATTAGCTACTTTAGCTAAACTTTAACGAGCGTGAAGAGGGTCACAGTAGATATTATTGTTAGCCCGAGTGGGTAAAATCGTTACCTTGATGCTAAACACAAAGGGGGATGGGGTACTATTGTGAGTCTTCACTTGTTGAAAATGGCGGAATGTCTAACAGCGGCTCTAGCTCGCATTGCCACTACTTCTTATGTTATCAAATCTTTCGAAGTATAGAGATCATGTTAGTATGCTCATCTGAATGGGGAGGAAAGAATGAAAAAAGGGGGAAGAGGGGACAGGAGTGCATTCAAGTTCACAATTGATCGAAATAGTTTGGTGTATCGCATTGCATGTGTAACGGTACTAGTATATAAGGGTGCAGACGGTCAGGTTCGTTCGACCTGATAACGTTCTATCTTTTGGTAGTGTCGTGGTTTAGAGCTGCACTTCTGTTCCGTGACAGCATGGTCTATGTAAGTTCGAAAATACATGTGACCGTAGATGCGGTTAGTCAGCGAGTAGCCCGCAGATGGCCTAAGTTGCAATACTTTGTCCATCCGGCCAAGTACGAACTCTGTTCTTTAAGAAATGGGAAGATACTGAATTTGCCTTGTAATGATATGGCCTGCATACCAATTAATGGGAAGGATATAGGGTCGCTGGGCTTCAAATTTATTTCCTGCTGGATCATTCAACACCTAATACGCCCTAGATTACCTTTGAATAATACAGTCAGATATCGATTAGCTATGGAAACTAGGTCCTCACATAAGCTGCTTTTCGAGTTGGTGTTCCGCTTTGCAGATGGGGGTTAATAGATGTAGTTATAGGCGACCGGATATAAGGACCTAATGGGATTAAACAACCCGCTAAGGAACACTATTCTAGCGTCTTTACCCACTCTAGACTACCACAGAACTTCTTCTTCGTACGAAGTACAATTATTCAATTTAGCAACCGATTACTATATCGTGATTGGGCCTGTAGCTCAGGGGTAGAGCGCTCGCTTTGCATTCTGATGTAGAAAATGCGAGAGGCCTAGGGTTCAAATCCCTACCGGTCCAGCTTTTTGCCAACAATGGGTCACACTCCCACTTCCGACTACGGACTGTTCTTTTTTTTCAACTTAACTAAACGTCCCAAAGGACAGGAGGTGTATTATTATTATCAACTATTTGTGCGTATGTATAATTCAAAGGGGATTGCATCGCATAGGTGTAAATAATTGTATATGTAGTTAGTTAGCCGTTTGTCCTAAACGTCCTAAATGAATAACCTCTAATTGTCAATTGCCTTCATTCTATCGACGCAGTCTACCTAATCTATTACGTTGTAATTAACTACGTGATGAATCAATCATATGCATACCACGTTGCTGTTGGCGCCGCCTTGTGCTAGGGTGATAAATAGTAAGTGCATGAGAGTAGTGTGCTGTTTAGCACATTGGCGTTAGGGGCGGCCAATAACCGTCAGGACCGGTCTACTTACCAAAGGCACTTAGATACCTGGTAAAGTTAGTCTCCGCGACAAGGGTCTGTCTACCTATCAGTGTTAGAGTTTCAAGGTGTGCAGATGTGCGATCGACGTACTGACTAACACTATCTACACTATACCATACATACCACACATCAACATGCCGGATTCATCGGTAGCACTTCGATTTGCCGATTGATTCTGTCTTACCAGGCAGGACTCAGCCTTGCTTATTTTCGGGTTTTCCGGATACCCCTCTCTTTGTGTATGAGTATGTTATTTTCCTCAACAGCTTTTGCTTAACTACAACCAGCGCAGTCAAGTCCACTGGCTCTTGGATAGCTAGAGGAAGAAAGCCCGAGATTAATCCATCTCATCGTCATCATCATTGTCTTGCTACTGGTATAGTATCTCGTGTCACATTTTGCTATTAGATTCCGATACGATGGCACCCCACAGTCTGCAGGATGAAGGTCCCACAGACCTGGAGCAGCAGCTGGATGATAATGAAATCCGGCCGCCATCCCCACCCCCGATGTCCGCAGCACCTCCGCGATTACTCGTCATCGGCGCTGGGTCTCGCGGCCGCACGTATGCGAGATGCTCCCTCCAATCCAGCAACGGCGTCATCGCCGCCATTGCTGAGCCTGATGACTATAAGCGTGAAGATTTCGGGCGTAAGTTCATCTGGGGTAAGACGACGCCACCGCCAGATGGAGCGAGCTTCAGGGATTGGAGAGAATACGTTTCATGGGAAACGAATCGTCGCGAACGACAGAAATCGGGCGAGGCCGTCCCGGAAGGTGTCGACGCCGCCTTTATCTGCGTGCGCGATGAAATGCATCATGATGTGATCATGGCCCTCGCACCGCTGGGCCTCCACATCATGTGCGAGAAGCCACTGGCAACCACACTCGACGACTGCACCAACATATATCGCACGTTGGCGCCCCTCCAGACTACTAAGGTCTTCTCTATCGGACATGTAATGCGCTATTCGCCCCACAACATGATGCTGCGAAAGCTACTGCTTGAGGAGAACGCCATTGGTGACATACTCAGCGTGCATCATACCGAGCCGGTAGGGTTCTGGCACTTTTCGCATAGTTATGTACGAGGCAATTGGCGAAAGGAGTCCATCACGGCCCCGTCGCTACTCACCAAGAGCTGTCATGATATCGACATCCTCTTGTGGCTCATGTGTTCTCCTGCACCCGGATCAGATGCGCCCGAACATCTACCGACATCTGTTACATCCTCAGGCTCGTTGCAGTTCTTCAGAAAGAGCAGGAAGCCCAAAGCCGCAGGTAATGCGACTAATTGCCTCAGTTGCCCCGCCGAGAACGAATGCTTGTACTCCAGCAAGCGAATCTACGTGGGCTCGAAGCACAGCGGACTTGAGACCGGGAATATCAGATGGCCGATCAGCATCGTCCTTCCAGACATAGAGAGCTTCGGCAGTGATACCGATAAAGCGAAGACGGCGTTGCTCTCGAAACTCGCTGAGGACTACGACGAGTCAACGCCACAGGAGGTAATAGACAGTAGGAACTGGTTTGGCCGCTGCGTGTTCGAGTCAGACAACGACGTATGCGACGAGCAGGTTGTGGTAATGACTTGGGACGATGACCCGCTACCTAGCTCAGCTGCGTCTGCGAAGGACGCCCTAGGAGCGCGGGGTGCTAAGCAAGCAACATTCCACATGATCGCACAAACTAGGAAGCAGTGCCAAAGATATACCTACGTCTACGGCACGGAGGGGGAGATCTATGCAGACTCAAAGACGATCACGATCGAGGATTTCCGAACGGGCGAAACTAAGACATACAAGCCCAAATTAGAAAGCCTCGGACATGGCGGCGGCGACCACGGACTCACAAGGCAGTTCGTACTCGCGGTGGACAGGGTCAAGAACGGCGGATGGAAGGCGGAGAATGCCCAGCGCGAGTTCATCGGATGTAGTCTGGAGGAGATCATTCGTAGTCACGCGATGGTGTTCGCTGCGGAGGAGGCCAGGAGGGACGGGAAGACTGTTGATTGGAAGACCTGGTGGGATAGCAACGTTGGCACTATGTAAGCGATTTTTTTTTCGGGTTACGGCGCATAGGTTTCGTAGGAATGCTATATGGCGGACACAGCCACAGCCACAGTGAGCGACATGCCATCCACGCCCGGTCCCCAAATCCTACCTAATAGCGAGATTGTTGTGATAGGTAGGTACTCGTTAGTCGAGCTGAGATTAGAAGCCATCCTCAAATGTAACCCCTTACACTAAACTACCACTTGGTGCCGCGAGGTCGCATCAATGATACTAGTCCTAAAGGGCAAAGGCGCTGAGCTGGAAAAGACCCTTTTTCTTACCCCTGCAACTCGTTCGATGCGCCCCTTTAAATCCATGTTACGTGCATGAACAAGACTGCGACTATGTATTGAAATCGACGTCATAAAATCCTTACCTGCGCTCTATTTTGCATTGATCTGCCTATTTGTCTACTCCCTACTTTGTTGCTAGTGTTCCTTAGCCTTCCTTCGCCTAGTGGCATGCGCGTTTAGTCTACCCGTTTGAGAGAGCGTCAACAAATAGCACATAGGTAGCACACGCGCTAAGGCCTCGGCAGTTTCTTGTATTGGCTTAAAAGTTAAACCCCAGAAAGCGCCTAGAAGAGATGCGAGAAGCCGACACTCGAGTAATACAGATGTGGATGAGAAAGACTACCAGAAACAGAAGCTGGACGATCTGATGGATTCCCGCAATGTCCCTGGACTGCGGATCGACTCCATAGTCATTCAGCTCGCGATTTAAACTTAGATTCGCTATGTGCCGAAAACCACCCGAGGCCGCCCCGAGGTTGATCTTCGGGCTGAGATAGGTATCCCGGAAACCCGGGCCAGGGAGCCAGACGCCCCCTTGGACATCGTGATATTGGCCCATGGGCGCTCCGGAAGGGCGGTGGCTTGGCCCGGCGACGACATTCCTTCGCGGGCTTCAATTATTTACAGCAGGTGTCGTTACACCAAGCTTCAACGTTACGTACGAGGTCGGAGGGTACGCCGCTCCACCCCGCTGAGGATCGATGGCACGTAGGATTCGGGAATTATTATTAGCTTGAAACGGAAGAGAAATGACGCCCTACCTTCCCTCTTAGGAAGCTCACCGCTGTCAAATACGCAGCCAAATACGCTACCAAAAGGCAGTGGATCGCCGTCGACTCTGTAAATAAGAAGGCCATCGCCAGTCGTGATCTTCTTGAGTAGAAACGGCACGTCGATCCACGCATTCCGATCAGATCTGCACATCAGACAACATGAAGTCGTTTCTCTCCGTCTCCGCCCTCCTGTCATTGGCATCGGCCCAGAGCCTCTGTGGCCAATATAGCTACTACTCGGCCAACGGATACTACCTCAACAACAATGCGTGGGGTCAGGATGCCGGGACCGGCAGCCAGTGCACATACGTCGACCTGCTCCTGAACCCGGGCGTCCAGTGGCACACAACCTGGAACTGGGCCGGTGGTGACAACAATGTCAAGAGCTACCCTTACTCCGGACGTGACCTGCCCACCAAGAAGCTCGTCAGCAACATCGGCAGCATACCCACCAAGGCTGAGTGGCGATATCTAGGAGACAACCTCCGCGCTGATATTGCGTACGACTTGTTCACGGCGGCAGACCCGAACCATAGCACCAGCAGCGGAGACTACGAGCTTATGGTCTGGTAAGAATATCTAATTTCCTCGTCTCTGAATAAGTCTATTTGTTGGAAGCTGCGAGCGCTTACCAAAGATCAATAGGCTTGGACGAAGGGGCAATGTCCAGCCCATCGGCAGTTCCGTTGGAAACGTCAATGTTGGAGGACTGACCTGGGACCTGTGGGTTGGGTACAACGGACCGATGAAAGTCTTCAGCTTCGTTGCCCCAAGCGACATCGCCACCTTCGAGTCCGATCTCAAGCCTTTCTTCACCTACATCACAAACAACCAAGGATTCCCTGCTTCCCAGCAGAACCTCATCAGTAAGTCCTCACTATCCTGTTACCATCCCTTATAAGATGGTAGGGTTGAAACTAGACTGGCTCTAATCTCGTGCGTAGCCGTCCAATTCGGTTCGGAACCATTCACCGGTAGTAACGCCGAGTTCGATGTTTGGTACTGGTACGCCGAGGTCAACTGAAGTGGCTTCGGACATGCTTAGGTCTACATAACATTAAATGTGTATAAATTGCAACTAAATCATCCCGGGCCCTTAGCTCAGAGAAAAGGGACGCCCGGTTTTTAACCAATAGTAAAGTTTTTACCACCGTGTCTATACAGGTCAAATATAAAAAGCTGTCTCCTGCAGTGACTTTGACGACTCCGAGGCTTGGATCATCTAAGCTTGGGAATAACAACTTGGATCATCTGAATAGATGTATCGGCCCAGAAATCGAATAACAGCTGTCTCAAACATATAGCAATCCAGGATCTATTATTCAAATGCTGGTTTCTACGGATACACGTACTACTAGGGATATAGCTATTATAAACGCCAGAAGAAGACCCAGTATTGGCATTTCGGAAGGCTTCGGGACCTAAACATTAATCGGCCTGCCTCT